CCATTCATTATATAGATGGGAAATACGTTTTTTCAGGAAATAAAAGCAAGGTAGTCACCTCTTTCAACGTATGGAAAAGTTCCTGGCACCATTAGGAACTCACAGGCTCTTCCAGGTAAATATGAGCAGTACAGGAAAATGTGCAGCAACATCACTTTTGGAATATCAGAATTATCCTTTCAGAACTCCTGGGAAATTAAAGTGAGCAGGGTGAAATTTTGGGGGGGAACGACTTGAAAATTTGAAGCCATTTGGAATCAGACTTTGTGCTGAAAACCAATAAAGGGTTTAGCAATTCCCACTTAAACCTGGGAGTGTCTGGGAGCAGCACAAAGAGCTGCTCTGAGTACCAGGCACGACAGAAATGTGTTAGAGACGTCAGGAGCACCTCACACGACCTGAAATGAAAGCTGAGCAGCTCCAGCATCCTGCTCTCACTGAGGAATTGTTCTCTAGGGAATGCTGGCACAGAGCTTCTGTCTCCAGCTGGGGTCTCATCCATAGGGTTTCCTACTCCTCAACCCCCTCTCTGAGATCTTTTGCTCTTTGGATTCTGAGAGCAAAGGGAAGTGCAGCCTTGCCTTTCTACCCCTGGAGTGCTCAAACAACCTGAGAAAGACAAAAACTCCATCAGCTGCTCTGGATCTTTGTTTTTTTTCCCAGCAGTTGCATCCAAGTCCTCCAGCCCTGCTCTGGAGTCATCCCCTCTGGCTGCCTGTTGAACCACCGTCAGAGCAGGAATATTCCAAAGGCAACAACCACAGGAGCTGCTGCTCCCCTCTGGACCAGGGAAGGGTTTCTCTGTGGGATTTGGGAGACAGTGACACCCTTGGAGAGGCAGCAAAGCCAGAACCAGGAGGATGAGCACAATGAAGAGCCCAGGTGAGCCCCAGGGCCGGGGAGTGGGGCTGAGGGACAGGGAGCAGCAGCTCCAGCCTGCCAGCAGCTCCTTCCCTTCCTTCCCTTCCCTCCCAGGGAAGGGAATGCAAAAAGCACTTGGAGTTCCTCACCAGCCTTCACACACTGGGAAACAAAGTCATTTCTGGAATTAAAAGAACGCAGACAATTTAAAAGGAAACCCTGATCTTAGAGTTTCTTACTTGAAACAAACCTTCTGCTCAAAAGCCTTTTCAAATATCACAGCATGGGTTGGATTGGGAGGGACCTTAAAGCCCATCCAGTGCCCCCCCTGCCATGGGCAGGGA